ACTCATTTTTGTCTCACCTGAGCAAAGCAAAGGACAATGACAGTTTTCTTAAAGGTCAACATGTATGTGGAGGGCAAATAAAGAAGAAAAGCAGGATTTTCTCTCAATATCACCGTTCAAGACATCATTCAAGGAGTTTCAGCGAAAGGAAGCGATGGGAAGAGAAGCAGGCAGACAATTTAACAAACTTATGAAGGTTATGGTAAGAGCAGAAGAGTCGATTTACCTGACAACAGGTCGGTCTGGGACGTCACCAAACTGCTGCGTTTACCATTTTACCCGCTTGCATTACTGGGGGGAAAAGTTTAGGAAGGAATATTCTCAAGGACTTTTCATAAGTTCTCACTCTCGCCATCGGAAAGGGGAGAAGGGAAGGTTTTCTCTGGATTGTTTGACTTTTATGGCTCCTGAAAAGTTTTGCAAAGAACAGTAACAAAGTGTGAACCGTTAGAACACATTTCTGCAAAAAAAGGGACAATAAGTCACACCAAACAGAGCCGCAACAAATCCCACCCGAATCCGCGCATCTAATTTGTGCCGTTGGCTTAAATGAATCAACAAACCAACAATTTTTCAACTCAAATTGGAAATATGAGAGGCTTGGAGACTTCCAGCAGCAGGCCAGGACCCACCATCGGAAGGCTCCAAAAGTCACCCTCAAAGGTTAAGAAAGACTTAAAGAAATAAAGCAAAGGAAAAGGCAGCAAACATCTGGTTATAAATCCTGCAGCGTTCAGTTTAAAACAAGTCCTAGAACAGCGAAAAAATTAAAAATGAAAAAAGACAGTAGCAACAGAAGTTACCTGTCCGAGCACCTACTATTCCATAGAGAGAACAGGAGTGGGTCGTGTGTCTCACACCAGCCATAAAGCCCATAAACCTTCTCAAAAAGAGCGAGCCATGAGAAAGATACTGTACATGCCATTTGTTCTCAGAGTCTCTCTAATCCCTTCAGGCCCCTTATGTATTTAAATGCCAGATTTTTGCAATAAGGGAGGGGAAAAAGATTTAGCAAAGGTCAGTGGTTTCGTTTGTTGGATTTCTGAAGTCCAGTGTAACATCTGAAGAAGTATCTCCTTTGGGTCTACCACACACAGATGTTTCAGAGGTATTTCCTGAGTAAGTATCACACATGAAAGCACGTGAAGTGGGAGAAAACGTTCCAAGAGCGACCGTGGGCTCCGAACAAAAACATTAACAGTCCACATATGCATCAAGCACTGACATTGTGTTAAAAATGAGCTGTTTTAACATTCCAAGACGAGATTTTATAAAACACAGTAAAGCATTAAACACAAGGCTTGAGATACAACCCGTACATTGACATAGCAAGACATTGATTATAAACAGGGGAAGTTGAACAGAAGAAAATCTCCAGCGTTACAAAGAACAAAAATTCATCAGATGTAGTTTAAGAGACTTATTCTTGCAAACGAGAGTTTCTAACTGGCTCCTTCCATCACGATAACACACAAAACCAGTTGGATCACCACCAGCTGTATTAGCACTGTCGTAATCCAGCACTACGTTGACCGTTTCTCCAGCACATGCTCCCAAACCCACACATGGAGGTAGCGGTAGTGCGGCTGTACGGAAGTTTAGAATGTGTTTTTCAGCATATGGAACTGGAGGAAAGAGACAGCTGACGTCTGTAAAGGTCACCTTCAACGGGGAACACTGCCTGGTTACCACGGCTTAGCTTTACTGGTGGTTTTTTCCTGTATGTGAAAACCAGGCACTCCCCTCGCGCCCCCAGCCCATTTTACACACTGGAGCAATGGATAAGTAGGGATTTGTAAATTCGTGAGGTGTGCCCGTTTGTGCCAACGAAGCCTCAGGCGAGGTTTTCGTGCTGGATAAACACCCCAAGCCCAAACGGATGTAGGTGATGTTTCAAATCCTGTCTCCCTCCCTGACCGCTACGCACAGGCTTAGCTCCAAACTAGCAACGGAAGCACCAACCACCAAGGAGCACCTCACCCCAAGAGAGCCAAACTGTACATCTCTCAATCCACTGCATTTCAAAAAAAATCTTATGTTTGCTTCCCAAATTTTACTACTGTGAGGTGTAACCTGAACATCCTGAAAGGGCCATAGGACTGTAAAGATCCTGTGAGCCACAAAGACTCTGGAGACTCAAAAACCATCCCAGAATGTTCCGTTACCAGCTCTTTCCTCTAAAAGATGCTTCCTGTGATAGAAACACAGAGGTCCCACTACCCCAACTGGCACGTTTACTCCCTGCTGTTACTCCACACGTGCTCCACGTGTGTCACAGCTGAGAAGGGAAGGATTGACCCCATCAGCCTCTCAAGGAGCGCAGGCACCTACCGACACACAGAGAAAGGGGGAAAAAAAAAGAAAATAAAAAAAAAAACAAACACACACCACCACCCAAATTCCCCTTAGATAAACAAGTGAGGAGAGAAGAGCCTCTGGAAGAGACTGCTCAGTGACTAGAAAATTAGGTTTCTTTCATGTTCTGTGATTCTGCAATTCTTCATGGAATTTTGTAGACCCTTATATTCTTTGGGAATAACCTGTGCACTTGAAGGCTCAGGAAGAAAGATCTG